AGGATTCCCCCCATCAGAGGCAGCCAGGAAAGCTGAGAGTGCACAGAACTAAGTGGGAGGCCTCAGTATGCTGTGTGACCTTGAGAAGTCACTGTGCCTCTCTGAGCCTCCGTTTCCTTACCCAGGAAATGCCCACCTTGCAGGGATGCTGGTGGATGGACATCTGCGGTGTCTGCCTGTCCAGTGTCCATTTCTCTTCTCTTGGAAGCAGCACCTCACATCCCCCTCCCTTCAATTCGAGTAGGTTCGAGAATGACCACCCAACCCCAGCACCTGCTCCAGACCTGAGCATATGACCCTAAGCCTCAGCAATCAAGTCCCAGTGATTGGATGAAAAATCGGTGCTTTGACCCAGGCCCGGAAAATTTAAGGGGATTCTGGAACTTTTTCTGGAATTAAAGGGAATTTTCCATTAGGGTTGAGCTTTTGGGACTCATTTTTACCAACATGAGATTGAAGCCATCACAGAAGGAAACAGAACTAAGAGATGAAGACATATTCCTCATGGCATTGTTTGAAGACCTGGATCCAGCCACACCTGAAGCCCACCCCTTTATGGTGAAGAGATTCCCCTTCTTTGTTTAGACCACACAGGATTGATTCCCATCACTCCCAACTAGAAGAGACTTCAGCAGCCAGAGAGAGCTGGGGACCTTCCCAGAGTCACCCAGCAGGTTAGTGGCAGAGCCAGTCTCTGTGGGACACTGCCCACTTCCCCGCTCACCCTGGCCTTCCAGAGGTGGGAAGGGCTGGGAGCAGAGGCAGGGAAGAGGCTGGGGCTGTGGGCTCCTGGGACAGATACCTGGGGCCTGAAGCACAGGCGCAACGAACTTAGGGTGAACAAGCCTCAGAGCAGGGTAGAGAGGCCCGACCCACCAGAGGTGGACGTCACGGAAGGAGTGGCCCAGATCCTCCAACAGCCGCATGCCCTCTTCATTGTTCTGAATCTGGGGACAAGCAAGGCTGAGACCAGGCCTGGCAGGGGCCCTTGGATTCCACCACTGCCCACTGCACCCCTCTGCCCCCCACACCCTCTCATCCCTCTCACCCCTGCTGCCTGGATTATTGGTCTACACCTGCTGCTGAGTCAGCTTCTCTCTGTCCGCCTCTGTCTCTTTCTGTGTCTGTGTCTCTATCTATGTGCCTCTCTCTGTCCCCTCACTCTTCGTCTCCCTGTTGCTTTCATAACGTAGACATGCAGATAATGGATGGATGGATAGATAGGCATTTGGGTAGATGAACAGATTAGATAGGCAGGTAATTAGGTGGGTAGATAGAGACAGACAGACATAGGCATAGATAGGGAGGTAGGTAGGTAGGTAGAGAGATGGATAGAGATTGATAGATATAGATAGATAGACATATTGATAGATAGATAGACATATAGATAGGCAGCAAAGATAGAGAGAGGGATCCGTGGATGATTGATAGATATGATTAGACAGGTAGATAGAGACAAACGATGGACAGACAGATGATATAAATAGACACACAGACAGATAGATTAGGCTAGATAGATAGAGATAGATGGGAGAGACAGACAAACAAGAGAGATAGGAGAGATAAACACGTGTATGTGTGTATCTGTGTATGTATGTGTTTCTTTTACTCCCTCTGTCTGTCTGTCCCTGTCTCTGTGTCTTTCCCTCCCCTTCTCTCTCCCTCACTCTTTCTCTGTATCTCCCTCTGGAGGTGGGAGGGTGGGAAATTACATGTCACTCGTCTTTCCTATTTTGTGACCTTCTGTAGTGTCATTGTGGAGACGAAATCAGTGAACACGGGTAGTTGAGCTCATCCGAGGCAAAGGTTTTCCAAACAGCCATGAAGGAAAACCCAATTGGCAAGAGCCTCCAGCCATGAGATCTGATAGGAATCTAAGCTAGATGTAGCCAAGAAAGGGAGATGGAAGAAAGCTGTTGGACTTGGGTGTAGAGGGGACTGGGAGTCCTGAGGGGATAGAAGATGAGAGGAGGTGAACAGGGAGCTGGAAGGACAGGGACTGTGGTCAGAGAACACTGCACTTGAATCGGTGGCATTGGAGGTGATGCTCTCCAGGTAATGACCAAATCCCAGGTACGACTCTGCAATAGGGGCCAATGCAGAGTGGAGGAAAGGCCTCTGGGGATGAGGCTAGGATGGGGGGTGAGGAGCTCTCTCTCAGGAAGTTTGGCCATTAAGGCAGAGGCCAGAGGGATCCCTTCTGAAAGGGAAAGTGGTGACTTTTTACTTAGTGAGCAACAGGAACTTAGTGAGCAACAGGAGCCAGCAGCGTATCTTGGGGATGGAGGGAAAAATAAGAAAAGAAAGGTGTCCTCGAAAGGGAAGGGAGAGAGAGGCTGGTCACACCTCTCCCCTGGCTCAGTCATGCCCACTTTGGGTGAGGGGTAGGGAGTCATAGTTAATACCATGGGGCAGGTGGCAGCCCAGAGAGGAGTGGACACTGGCCCGAGGCCAACAGAGATGTGCCAGGCAGGACCCAGGACCCTGCCCCTGAAGAGGCCTCAAATCCAGGGGAGAAGACTTTGGGCCGGCCAGGGGGTCCAAGGCTCTGTGCAGCCCACCCTGCCCCACCCCAAGAAGGACAGGAGTGCAATGATGTGGGGAAGAAAGGCAGGAATATGACCCAAACCAGGGTTAGCAAAGGTAAGAAAGAGGAAGACCTCAGGGCATGGGGTGGACAAAGAGGCGAAGAATAGATGTGAGGGGAGGTGAGGAAAGAGGGGTCCCCTCAGCCTCCCTCCCTTCCCTGCTGCCTGGGTCCCAGTCCTCCCTCTGACCCCCAGTTCCCTGAGCCTCATTCCCAAACCCTCAGAAAATCTGTCCACATTTATACCCCAGGCTCATCCTGCTGCCTCACTCACCAGGTCCAGGTGACCCCAAAACCAGTTCCGTTTTGGAGGCTGTGGGAAACATTGGAGGCGGCGAGAGTTGTCATAGAAGGCGTAGGTCCAGGACAGCACACGAGCCAGGAGCCAGGTGGCTCCAACCAGCAGCAGAAGCAGCCACGGGGAGGCTGCCACCGGCCCCAGGCCCAGCCAGGACAGGCTCAGCTGTGGCATCCTGCAGGCAGATGGGACAGAGGTGAGGACCCGAGGCCAAGGCAGGGCCACGGGAGCTCCAGGGACAGTGGAGAGGGGCAGGAGAGGTGGGTGCTGGGGGCAGGGCATGGAGGGCTCAGAGTCAGGTGAACAAGGGCTGAGAACGGGGAGGGAAACCCAGGGAGATCCAGGGGAGAAGGCAGAGTGAGCTGGGAGCGGAGGAAAGAGAGAGAGAGAGAGAGGGGCAGGGAGAGGCTGATTAGAGTTCAGAAAGGCCCAGCCTGAATCACTGGGAGGTTGGCAAAGGCTTAGTTTCCTGGAAACCACCAGTCTCCATGGCCACCTTGCTTCCTGGAGGAGTTTTGGGCAGGGCCCCTCCCAATCTCAGGCCAGGACCCTCCAGCCCCTCCACCCCCAGCCTGGCACCTTCCGTCAGGAGCAGCTTCTCACACAACCTCCTCTCTCCTCCACCCGGGAATTCTTTGTTCCCGACCCTTGACCTGGAGGAGGCCGAAGGAGGCTGGGCTGGGCTGGGCCAGCCAATCCTGGCACCCTGGATGCCTCCTCTCTGCCTGGGCAGCAGCCCAAAGTACAGTGTGGGATCAGCTGGGTACAGAGAAAAACAAACTGAGGATGGCACAGTGTAGACATTGAACCCTCATGACTCAGCACTCCTGCTCAAACCAGGATCAAAGGTGACTCTGAGGTGCTGAGTTGACAGCCGCCCCTATGCATCCAAGTCCAGGGCCCAGCAGGTGAAAGCATGAACTTGAGATTCAGGTGCCAGATGAGCAGGACCAGAGCATGACTTGTGCCAGAACATCTCCCGAGCTCCTCTCCAAGCTTGGGCAGGGAGAGCATTAGGCACGATTTCTTGGTGCAAAATTAGGAGGATCCTAGAAAGAAGCCTCTGGGTCCCCAGCCAGGCAGCCTGGCAGGAGTTCTAGTCCTGCCTGAAGCAGCCCAGGGCCTGGCTTGAGACATGACTGCTGGGAGCAGGAACCAAGAGCCCAGCCTCACTGGGGATTAGTTGGCTCAGATTCTGGAGAAAAAAAGCCCGGTTGGAAGAGCAAACCTGGAGGCTCCGCTCAGCATGAGAGGTCGGAGATAGGGGGGTGGGGGAGGCTGAAAGAGTCTGTGAGCAGATGGAGTCTGGGTAGGAAAGGGCAGAACAAGGGAACCCTGAGTAGAGTCCTTGTCCCTATCTATGGGCAGTGCCAGTGCTCTCTGGGCTCAGTCTTTCCATCTGGAAAATGAGATGTTGACCTAAAGTGGGGACACTGCTTGTTCAAATACTGTCCCAAATTTTCCTGTGGGGTGGTTTTAATCCCTCTAAGGTCTGCTGGTGGTCAGGCTCCAT